CCACAATGTGGAGTCAAACGAAAGGCTGCCATCACTTGCCCTTGGGCATTGCTCCTCTTAATGAGAATTTGGGCATAATTCTGGTTAAGATGGCCTGGTGCAGTGTCCATGTTGTGTGCACGAAGGGCAAGTCTCGAGCCGGCAGCAGAGCCGATTACCCCAGATGTGGCCTCCTCCTCCACAATAAATAAGGTGGCGTGCTCCACAAGTGCCAAAGGCGAGAATTTACGCGCCGCCTGAGCCCAATACTCCGCAAATGCCACAGCATCCCTTAGCCGATTTCGCCGTTCAAGAGAATCAGGATCCGTGGCAACAGCTGGCGCCTCTGGAAACTGCAAATGCTCACAGAAACGTTCCACCTCCGTGGCGTTCCCTACCTCCAGCACATTGATCACCGCCCACAAGAGAGGAAGGGCCGTGCTGCTTGTCGCAAAGGCGGGAAAGCTAGAAATAATATTGCGAAGGATTTCCTTTGCAGAACTCCGTACAGAGTCAATAGCAAATCCGTAGAGCAACACAAGCTGCCGCGCATTCTTATCAATGATACTCGCCGCAAAATCCGGGAGCGTTTCTCCGAGAGCAGAGATATATCGTGCCGTGGCAGCCTTTGTTACATGCTTCACAATTTTTCTAATATCCTTACTGGCATCAAATTCCCGTAGTTCATAGTGTTGATATTGCGTTATGGTGGAGATAGAGCCACATGATGCACGTAGCATCTCCAATGTCGCAAGAGCATTTATCAAAAAGGCCTCCGAAAAAGAAAGACGCTTAATTACATGTTTAGCCTCTGGACAGTAGCGTTGAAGAAAACGCACCAACTCCTTCTGATAAAACTTACCGTCACCTAAATCACCACTGCTGAATAAGCGATGTTTCAAAACATCTATGTCTGCCATGGTTTGCTGATAATCGGAGGATCGCATATGCATAAGGGGCGGCATGGACGCGGCAAGCAATCGTATACATTTGGTCCAATCCATTGAATTTAAACCTTTTTCCTGGCAGCGCAGTTTTTCTGAGGCAGTACTCGTCGCATCCTTTTCGGTCCGCAAGAGTGCTTCTCTTGTAAGACGGTAGTATGATAACATGAGCCAACAAGAACGGAACTGTGCCATCCCATTTTCGGCATAGAAAGAAGAGTTGATATTAGATGGTTGAAAACAGTAGTGACACAAGAAGGACTCCCCTTCATCCAACTGCGTGAGCTTTTGTGCATTCTCATGGTGATACACAAGGTGTCGGATATCCGTCACGGGAAACAGTGTGGAAAGCTGGCATAGCAAGCAGAGGGGACGGAGAAAGAGTGACAGCACCTCAACGGCAATACGTTGCACATCAAACACGGCCGGATGATGAGTGCCCCTCTCGGAGGATTTACCGTAGAGAATGCCAGACCCGGGCCACGCAACATTAATCATGCAACGCAGTAAAGTCCTCAAAAGCACACGGAGGACACGACTCTCCGCGTTAAACGCCTCAACCAGGCGTGCCTTTGCCTCTCCATCCCCAGAAGCGACAAGACGAAGGCCCTCCCGTGTCATGACGCGAATGCGTTCGTGACAACGCTGCACAAGTCCCCAGAAGGACTCCAAAACCATCAGCAGCGTGGTACTGGGAAACTTTATCGTGGGGTCGGCGAGATCCCCAGAGCGCACATGAACTCGCAGGGTGTCCTCGAACGTGTCCCAAAAAACTTTTCCAAAGCGCAACAAGGCATCACAAGTGAGCGGCTTCAAAATGGAAAGGTGCCGCGACACAAGCAGACGATTCATCATCTCAAAGCACACTGCCAAACGCGGAGCAGCTCGGCTTGACGAAATCAATGCGTTTTTATCCTTGCTGTTACTTTCGGCATCAACAGACTGGAGCACCGTTGAGAGACGCACAACGGAATCTAACACCTCCGTCACCGCAAAGGACCGCACATGGGAATTTGTGGCACAAAGTCCCTGAAGACATAATGCCGCCATGCGACCCTCATCCCCTTCTTCATCCAGAGGCGTGGCTTGAAAGGTCCCCAAAGTTCCAACCTCCAGTACGCGGTGGATCAACTCGCGGACGATGCCATCAATATTGATGTGGTAGTTGTGTGAATACCGTGCCTTCGTCACAGCAGAGGGTATGGGGACGTTTTTCCAAAGAGATATAGCTTTGCCCTCTGCAGAAGTGGTCAACGCAATGACTTTGACGCATTGCTCGGCGATGTCCTGTCGAAGTCGGGCCGCTGACGCCTTCGCCGTTATGAAACTAAATATGCTCGTCGGAAGGATAAGAAATTTAACGATGTTTCCAATCACACGGAGGCGGAGATCTTCCTCCTCGGCTGAAGGCAAATAACTTCCTGTCCAGGTATTATCCCCCTGCTGCACTTGTTGCTCTTGATACATGCCACTAATGGTTCTGTAACACTGCGCACGCACCAACTCTGCCTGTAATAAATTTTTCACGACAATGCGCACGTTATCACCGTAGAGTTTGACGTTTGTCTTTCGAAGATCCTCCCATCGGCTCGCAGCCTCTTGGAGGGCAGACCAAACACTCCCTAGAAGTGCATCAGCCTCTGTGCATTCTTCGCGGGAGAAAAATGAAGAGATGTCGTCTTGAGCATCACCCGCACCTTTGTATTTTACCGTACATGTTGTTACGGCGTCTTGAATCCACACCGTCAGGAGCGTCAGCATCGCGGCGACCACGCGCGCATGCAGGTCTTCTTTCTGCATGAGGCCTCGTAATACGTAATCCGGTTGGAGCACGGCTCGAAGCCAATTGCGCATGCGCGTGTAATTTACACCTCGAGCGCAGCAAATCGCCTCCATGAGGTAACAAAGAAGCCGTTTGTGCAACGGTTCCCTTCGCCTGGATGAATTTGTAAAGGCGTCTGTCAAATTTTGTAAATGATTCAGCAGCTGCGAGCTCAGACAAATAGGTTCACTTTTCGTTGTGTGGGCGAGTCCATTCAGAGCACCAAGAGCAATAGGGTTCTCAACGCACTCGTCAATATCGGATGGAATGCAGGAAATGATGATGGAATCGATGATGCAGCCATCAAACCCTGCCAGACCAATATTTCTCCCCCTGCTCTGGCTGATGTACGTATCGTGGCCACGGCGGCCGGCATGATCATTCGTCTCCTCTCCATCCTTTTCACCGTCCTTCTGCCCCTCTCCGTTGCCCCGCAGCAGCAGCATCCCACAAAATACAAGCGACGCCACAAATCCCTGCACGTCAACACCCGGAAAAAACTTTGCGGTTCCAAGCTGACGCATCAACAACGTGTAAAAGGAGGCGCACTCAGAATAAAACCCTTTGGTGTATTCATAAGGCAAAGAACGCCACTCAACTGCAAGAGCCATGAGGGAAACCAAAGCTGGGGCGTTCTTGACAGTCACCCCGGCCTTTTGTGACACGAGCTCGTTGATCTGCGACAAACTAATCAGTAGCGCAACGCTCGGGTGGCTCAGAACGTCGCCCAACCGCATCCCCGTGGAGTTGCAAGAGCGCTGCTGCACCCCAAACTCGTTAGAAGTTGTGTTTGTTTCGTTAAGCCGCACAACATTGTCTACAAAAACCCCTGTATTTTGCTCGTCTAAGCCAAATAATCTTACTGGAGAAAAGCATTCGGGGTTGCTAAGAGACCTCGTGTTGAGAGGAGTAACCTCCCCGCATTTTCGCCGTATGGGCGACGACGACGCAGTCACTGCCCTTTTTGTTGTGATGGTTGTGGTTGTAGTTTCCACCATGACTGGTCCTGTTGGTTCTACACGTGTGGGTTGCAACTGTTGCAGCAGGTGTTGGCCCAGTACCCGCGTCATTGCAAAGACCGGCGAACGCCGCACCCACGTGGGAAATGGGATTTCGTCCATAACAGAGAGACGCGGTCACCCTCCCTTCTTCTCTCAGATAGTGTACATTATTTGCGTGATATATATATATATATGAACGTGTCGTGAAAAGAGGGGGAAAAAAAAAAGACCCAGCCAAAGAAAGAGAGAGAATCAGGATCGGATGAGGGACAAATTACATGGCATGAAGCTGCTTGTAACAAACATGCATCACCGCCACGCAACTTCTCATACTCCCCTCCGTACTGCAATTTTTGGGACATCAATGGGCCAATATATCCGGCGTTGCTCCCTCGTTGAGTTCCAAAAACAGGAGCAGCCCACAGTTCTAAGAAACACTTCCCTCCTTCACGATATTTTCCTTAAACACATGGTGGTCGCAAGATGCCTTTCTCACCACACCTCCGAAAAAGGTCAAAGGTGGACTCCGTCATATTACAGGCAACGTTCTTTCTAATTCTCAGTGACGACCTGAGATCGGGGAAAAGAGAATCTTCTTGCCACCACCCCAATGGGCCGCACTCGCCAAGGCACTTCCCGGTTATGTGTCCGCATAAAGAAGAATCCACCCAAGGGCACCAAAAATCTCGTTCCGGCTGCTGAGTAGGATCGCATATTCTATGGCATCAACCCTGGATGCATAACTTCGTCGCTTCCCAACAACAAGCCGCCCAAGAACGCGTTGAACACGTACAACACCGGCTCCCGGGAAGTGCTCACAGCTGGCGGCGCATGGCACTCATTACTCCGCCCATAATTGTTCTCCCTTATCGCCTGCAAAACGGTCCATCGAATCCTGCCAATGGCGCCACTTCATGCAGCGCGGCCCCCCGCTGATGAAAAACGCCAAAACGCCCCCCATTGGACGAAAACAAGCCTTGCAACAAGGCCGTCACAAAAGTTTGACGAGGCACCTCGTCTGAATTCCAAAGGCAAAGCACGCCCCTGACGCAGCCAAAAATTCTTGGTGGCCAGTGGCGCGTTCTCAGGTGCGCCCCGCGCCTCTTCCTGGCATTAAGGGAATGGGGCTCTTGAATTCCACCATCCCTGTGGCTTCCTTCCCGAGACTCAAATGGCCCTGCAGTAACAAAAAAAGAACTAAATGAAGAGGACCCCTAAAGATAAATGAAGTAAAAATTCCCCCGTCAGGCATCGCGACCAGCCAACGCCCAGCGGCACTCCATCACAGCCATCAAATCCGGCAAAAAAAAAAAAATCATTCTGCATGTTTTCCTTCCACACCTTCCCCTTTTCATCCACAACTGTTTTTCTCGCTATCTTTACTACTCTGGTGGCGGCAAGTCCCTGTACCCCGCTGAGCGTGAAAGGGCCTCCGCAAGATCTCCCTCAAAAAGATTTTCCAACGCGCAGAGCGAGGCGATGTGCAGCGCTTGCGCGCGAGTCAAGGCTGAGCCAAACCCCACAAGTTGGACCTCGCCCTTCTTGGACTCACGCTTGTGCTTCTGTAGGTAAATACGGCATTCAAACCCACTCCCGCTACTAGGCGCCTGCTCGACACGCAGCCAGCGTTCGTTGCGGAAGTCACGTGTGACGCAGCGCCGCAGGAGCGTATACGGCCGTGGTGGCCCTGCGCTTTCTGCCCGCTCCACCGTCCGCTGGATCTCTCGAGTCACGGTGTCAGGCAGCATCTCCACCACTGGTGCTGAAAATACCTCCCCGGCAAAAGAACTCATCTCTTTCGAATGCGCAAACAAATACTGCAGCGAACGTGGGAAACTCCGCCGACAGGCCAATAGAATCACGTCGCGGATGCCTTCCCGCTTCGCTGTGGCGATGGCACGCGCTACAGCCAAGCCACCCACCCTTGAGAGGGACAGCGTCACAAACCAGTAACCACCCAACTCACGTGCCTCAACGTCAATTGCCTGCTGCTCAGCGGAATTGGAGGATTCCGTGGTGTCCATGATGCCGGCGCTCGAGGCACCAAAAAAGGCGTTGAACATGTACAGCGCCAGCTCCCGGGAAGTGCTCACAGGTGGCGGTGCATGGCACTCATACTCCGTCCATAGTTGTTCTCCCTTATCGCCTGCAAAACGATTCGTGGCCGCGCGCAAAACGCTGCACAGAACAACCAGTGCACCCTCATCTTCGCCACCAATGCGTTCGCTTACGAGTAAGTCGCCATTCTGCGCATAAACTGCCGCCCGGTATCTTGGGTGAAATGGACGAAGAAGACACTCAACACTGCCGTCGTTACTATTATCGTCGCAGGTGTTGCTGTCAACATGTTGCTCAAGTGTCCATGTGAAGGGGGCCAAGGTGGAAGCCTTTTCCTCAAGGAGTGCTATCACCTGGCTCACAAACGACTCTGCCCCCACACGATACACGGCATTGTCAACATTTCTCGCGTCCTGGTCAGGGTTTATTGCGTCACCACGATTCAGTTTTGCATATGCCTGGAGTTCTTTCGGAAAGTACTTCTGTGCCAGCTGATACACAAGGACACGCCTGGCATGTTTTACTTGTGAATATGGAGGAGAAATGGCAACCACGCGCCGCTGCTCCTCACCTTCAATCTGTGCCTCCATCTCCGCCACCCACTGTGGAAGACCCAAATCCCCTGAGGCGTTGCGAAGGCGCACACGTAAGTTGTGCCATCCCAAATCCTCCTCTGCAAAGGCAGCGACAAGTGAGAATAGGTTCCCAATATGCTCCACACGTTTTTCACGCGGAAGGGCACGAAACTTGCTTCCACGGGCCATTGTATCGCTTGAGAGATCAATGTCGGGGTGAAGCAACAGTGCATCACGGTATTGATTGGGAAAATTTTCTCGCAGTGCGTCTAGGCAGGCATTCCGCCAGGCCTCTCCACGCTTCTTCGCCTGGCGCTGAATCAACAACTGATCCGAATGCAAGCCGTCATTCACGGTAAGTATTGCCCTTGCCTCCCCGACAGAGCGGTCCTCATGATATGTCGTTTGGTAGAAACTCCCTATAAGCTGCGAAGTGAGTGTCCCCAGCAAAGCGTATACATTCCACTTTCCGCGGTGGTTCGTGGCAACGTTGTAATTGTCATGTTTAAGTACCGCAAGTTCCAAAAGCTGCGTGGTGGGAAACAATACGCCACCGCCACGTGCGTCAAAATGCGCCAGCCCAAGATCGGGATACTGATCAAGAAGATATGTTAATGCCTGTACATAGCAGTCAAACTCAAGCCGGTAGCGACCCGAGCCGCTATTCTGCCAGACAACGCTTCCGTCAGATATAAAACACGCGGTAAAGAAGACACATTGTTTCTCGATTGCCAGTGTGGCACTTCCACCGTCGGGCTTTTTGGAAATGGTTGCATCTTTCCCGTCCATTTCCTGATTGCCTTTTTTGTCACCCTCGATCCGAATCACGGCCAACTCCTCCGGACGTTTCCCCTGCGCCTTTGCCAGCCTATGCACCATCGCATCAAACTGCCACCGCATGCGGGTGATTAACGGCGCCGGTGGGAGGCACTGATCGAGAATTGTAATCTCCGGTGAAAGAACGGCCTCCGAACGAAGCGCCTGCCCCGACGCATTTTGGTACGCCGCCAATGGCGTGGCCTGTCGCTTCACTTGATTCACGCTGATGTTGCCGTACACATCTTCGACAATTACAGCAGCCGTGAAGGTTGTCGGACGCAGCACTCGATACTGTTCTTCAACCGGCACCGGAGACTCCGTGGCTTCTTTCCGTTCGCCGTCTGCCGCCTCTTCGGATTTTTCGGCGGAGCCTTTTTTCCGCCCCGCCTTCTTGTTCGACAACGACGGCTCCTCCGCGCCCTCTTCGAAGCAGTGTCTCTCGATGGATTTCCCCCATGGACGAACAAAAGCCTCCACCTCGCGAACACTCTCCAGCTGCACAAAGGCGGACTCGAGCTCCTCACGGTAACGGTCCCGCAACATCGCAAAACAACGCATCAGTGAATCATTCGCTGACTGGCCACGCACCTCTCCAGTGAAGCTGAGATTTGGCGCCACACCCCACTCGTCACGCACGTAAGCTCGGCAAATCCAATCTGAGCGGACCGCATCTGCATTACAATTTCCACCGTTATTATTTTTATTATTATTGTTATTATCTTTATCATCGATTGCCTCGTCATCCTCCCGTCGCCCCACTTTTGAAGGGCCCTTGATGGCAAATTTCAACACACGACTGAAATGCACACACAATTCGCGCAGTTCATCCATAATTGCCTTAAATTCAAGTTGGCGCGGTGAAAGCGAAGCTGTAGCGTTATGCCGCCAATGCCCGGCCCGCTTTTGCTGGCCGCGTCCACGACCACGCGACGTCTGTGATGACGCCGAGCCCTTTGGCTGGGGAAGTATGAAAATCACGTCACTCTCAAGTGCATCTTGCAGGGCACGCCCCAAAACCTCATCAGCCCGCTCGCCAACTGCCACCGCAAGCTCCACCGGAAATCCAAGCAGTCGACACGTCGCCGATGCCCGGTAATTCATCGTCAGCTCCTGTGACAACTGCGACTCTCTCGTAGCCCCTGAGTCTTCCCTATACAATACGTCGCCTGCCACGGGCTCCTCATCCTCCACCACCACCGCGTCATCCTCGTCCTCGTCCTCCCCCCAACCTCCTCTATTTTATGTGTGGCTCGCCGAGCTCCACGCCGCGGGCACCGCCGAAGCACCAACTTATCCTGTGGCCCAAACCGCTCCCGCAACAACGCCTCAGCATCCTGCAGACCCTTGCCCTCCTCCCCATAATTCTCCTCCCCGCTTACTCTCGCAGCCGTGCCA